ACTTCTATCAGCTCTGTATGGATTTCAGTGTGAGCCAAAGAATACCAAGACTTTGCACTGGAGTCTAAAGTTTGTTCTTGACAAATGAGAAAGTAAAGAAATGCTAAACAAAAGCCTAGTATTGACTTGAGATCCACAGTGAAAAGGGCAGGTAACAAACTCCCAACAGAAATCCAGGATAAAGTGCAAAATACCCAAACCCAGCAACACGATTCAATCTAATATAATCAGGGAAAATCATCATTTCTGATTCTTAAAGCACATTAGGAATAAAGGCCTCTTCATTGATATGTTTCAGTAAAATGATAGAACCACCAAAAATTAAACTGTTATATTGATATTTTCTTGGGATATATGTCTGTGTTTCCCAAAATCATACCAATTGCTTAGGCTGTCCATTTATTCATGAAATGGATGAAAAATCTATATTTTTTCCTCCCTAACAAATGTTTGAAATTAGGGTTTATTTGCCTATTTTAATCATTCCAATTTATTGGCTCTAATTTATTTATTTTGAAATATGCAGATTGATAATGTAATTACCAGCAAGGAGCCTGAATTTATTCAATTGTTGGTGCAAATGCCACAGTTTCCTTGTTTACATGAGGAGATTTTCACTAGTGCTGCTATCTTGGTCACTGATCACCACTGACTGGATCAGTGCTATTCCCATCTGGACACAAGCCCACATATTTTTGATATGTGCCTAAACAGAATACAAAGCTTTATAGCTGAATAACAGATACCTTCATTTCAGGTAGCATAAAGATACTGGTACACCCATATGCACTAAAAATAAAGAAACATATCCCTGAGTTAAACAAACATAAATGTGGTTATATAGTGGAAGGATAATTTAAATATGCATAGCTACTTTTCAGGGAAGAACTTCTAAAAAACAACAACAAAAAAAAAAATAGATCAAAGACATCAGAAGAGAAGGAAAAAAACCACATGATGTTACTATACCTGTATGTATGAATGTAACACCACAACCAAGAAAATATCAAACACTGATCTAGGAGAGACTGGGAACTTCAGTGATAAAACAGACCTTCTGTTTCTTGGTCATGAACAGCTTGGCTGCAATCTTCTATCTTTGGTCAGGATGCAGATAAGAGTACCAAACTTTTAGTATAGATTTACACTTGACTAAAGTACACATTTTTAGTAATATTAATTTGGTCTCTGAATTTTGGGGGTTTGTATTAAATATGTTACCAAAAAAAAAAAAAAAAGCAGACCAGATGATGAAATTTAACAAACAAACTTCATCGAAGCAAGAGTCCACTTGGACTTGTGGATTTCAACATCAAATGCCTAAAAGCAAAGCACTGAGTATTATAAATAGTAGTTTAATTTCAACCACTGCACTACTTTTCAGGAAAGGCATTTGAAGAGGAGGTCTCCCTCCCAAAAATAACTAATGAAGAGAATCAGTTACTGCAATTGAGCACTTCCACTGTGGCTCAGTTAAATACAATTTCTCACAGCCTTTTTAACCAACAAAAAATGAGAGAGATATGTAAAATCCAATTGGAAAATATTGTTTGTCAAAATGCTATGGCCAACAGAAGACTGTGTGGTGAAAGAAGGTGGATTTGACTTTTGAATTCAAGACTATTTTTTCAAAACACAATCAAATCCAGGAGTGAAATCAGTACCTAAAGTTGTTTCTTCAGTTTTAAATAAGAATTGAATTGAGAGGAATTGAGTGCAAAGTTTTGGTAAACATTTGGACTCATACCAGAAACTGTCATTTGATTTACCATCAGTTGTGTGCCACTCTATTTGATTGGATCTTGTGTTGTGAAAGAAATGAGATTATTTCTAAGTTTCCTTTGCCACAGGGAAAAAAAAAAGGAAAGCTGTAGAGCTTCTGGTCTCACCACTGATTCAAACTGTGAAGGAGCACTTCAGTAAATCCAGTACTTTATGCTACATGTATAAAGGGAGATATTGACATGAAAACCCGGGGATTGGAAGACCTATGTGTGATGTTACACAGGGGATTGTAGCAAAAACGTATCATGGGTCAGATATGCAACAGCAGCTGATAACACCTCTCTCTCCTTCCCACCTCAATTTATCCTGCTATCTCCTACAGCTAGCAGGGAATCCCTCCCCTTCAGTAATCCTCCCTTTAAAGCCCTGGAGCTTCCTTCATGCTCATGGCACACAGCACAAGCGCCTGTGAGGAAGGGTTGCAGAGTCTCTGTCTGGTTCCCGTCACTTTTAAGAGCATGATAAAGCAACTGAAAAGAAAGTATGATTTTCTAAGGTGTTGGATTCTTTCCAATGCCTCCATAATCAATTTAAAGAAGCACATGAAAGGTAAGCAGAACAAGTGAAGAGGATTTTCAAGAATATTTACTCTTTGTGTGGCTCTACTCTCTTTAAAGGTACAGGAAATTTCTCCCTAACATCATAGACAGCAGATGTAAATTGGTATCAGAATCAAAGTAGAACATAACCCCTTTTATCTGGTGATAATCTTTTTTGCAATTCCTTGATATTCAACAAGCACAATTCAATAGCAAGCTACTTTTCAAAGTACTTAGTTAAAGTGTAAGGAAATAGAATGGGGACAGGCAGGTTGCTCTTTCTAGATCCACAGCAGTTTGAACAGAAGCTTTTCAGAGAGAAGATTTTGCAGCTAATATATATTGAAGGATCTTTTCATGCACAGACTATAGGCAGTGATTCTTTTCCTTGCTTTAAATCATAAAAGGAAACCACGAGCAAACAATGGCTTTAAAAAGAGAAACAAAAGATAATTCAACTTTATATACAGTCTGCCTCCCCACAGCCCCCTGCATATCTATGTATACACATGAAGAAAAGGATTTTAAAACACCACATAACAATAAGTATCCAAATTTTTACCAAAAACAAGAACAATTCTGTTGTTACTCTAGCTTCAAATATTTGAAAACTTGTTCCCTAAAAATTATACTTTCTCCTACTTTTTCTTTGCTACTTAGCCATCAGCTAGATGTAGTTATTACTACAGTATATGTAATAAGTATTACATATGGTTTTCAATAATGATTCCACCAAATAAGGTTTCTAGCATCTGTTTGCTAGCTATAACACGCAACAAAATGTGTTTTGTTGCTTAAATTGATCTGTTTAAGCAGTGTAACATTATCATATTATCACAAGTACGTTTAATCTATGTTTTGAAGAGGATAAGAATATTGCCTGTAAGCCACTGTAAGCCTTTGCCCCATTTTAAAGGAAAAGTTAAAGATCAAAAGTAGAGAGCATAAATACACAAAGCCTTGGCCCTCTCCCTCCATTTCAGCACTCTGTACTGACCTCTACCGGTTTCTCCACTTTAGGTTTCATCAGTAGGAAACATTCCACTTTTATTGAAGTTTTGCACTCTTTTCTTCAAATTCTGGGATTAAGTAAATTGCATCCCACCCTGCTAACTTCTCCCTGACTGAAGGTCATAAAAAGATCAAGCTTGCACCTATTGGTGGCAGTTTATCTTTAGTGAATGAGACACTAAGAAAAATCATCAGTTAAAAAACTGCCTCACTGCCTATAGATGCAGCTGTAGGTAGATATTAAATCTGAAAACTCTATCTTAATAAATTTATTACTAGTAATTTGTTCTATTTTTTTAATTGAACTGCTTTTTCATGTCTCATGTGGTAATCAGATGTTTGCTTTATAAAATCTTGGTTTTTATTATAGAATTCCAAGCATCTGACCTATGATGATCAGAAGTACTACTGCAGCACAAATACCAAAGTTGTGAATATAAATTTAACATTTTTAGTCATCCCCATTTGAAATACTTCTGCTTCACAGAACATGCTTCTCTCTAGAAGGTTCTTCAGTACAAATATTTGCTTTAATTAGGGCAGACCTTGCAGCTTTTATAACCACACAGCAATGAATCGAAGTACAGTAGCAACATAAAAGTATCACTGTAAAAGCTTTGTCAAACCACAGTCATTACCCTGTCTTACTAGGAGGAGTGATACACTCACCACATCTTTTATACAACAAAATGAAGTTCAAACTGTCCATTTTTCAACTGATCACAAGAAAAAAACAAAGCCCTAGCTTTTTATGTGTTTTACAGTAAAAAGCAACTCTAGTTAGTCATAAGTAAGTGAGCAAAGTTTTCCATTCTCATTTACCAAAGAACACTTTCGTTGTCAGCAAAACCCAAAACTTTCCAATTTTAAAAGCATATTTTTCACTCTCTTCGTTATGAAATTCTTTAAGTATGAATAACAGTTTTACATATCATGAGAATTTCTTTTCCTCTTACCACTCCACTAGTGACTGGAAACAAACTTTTAAAATTTTTAAGTCACTTATACAGTCTGAAAAAAACCCTACAACTGCTGACCACAAAAACAAAGAAACTTTGTTGTTCTGTTGATATAGATAGTAAAGCAGATCACATATTGGTAATTCCATTTCAGAACAGCTAGATTTTTATAATTCATGAAGCTATTTTTTGTAATAATGCATTTTTCTTTCATTTTCTATATATACCTTTCTAGATCCTGAATGTAAACAAATCACTGAGATATTCAGCATGAATCTATAATATTTCATACTGTATAACTATCTGAATCTGACATCCTCTTTATTTTGGTTGGTTTTAAATCATGTTCTCCGACTTGTGGAACGTACTCCTATTTCTCTCCCTTCTTTTACTGCAGCTGAAGCTCGCACCACTCCATCCTGTCAGTGCCAGGGAGCTGGGGCAGCCCCCTGGGGCAGCCCTGGAGGCCGGGGCAGGTCGGGCTCCCCAGCATCCCGGAGGTGCGGGTCCCGCTGCCCTGGCCAGCAGAGGGAGGAGAGGGGGAGCCCGAAGCGCCCGCAGCCCCCAGGGCACCGCACCCCCCTCTGCTCTGCCCCCAGGCACGGCGACAAGAGGCAGCCCCAGCTCCACTGTCCGTGGTGAAAACCCACTCCTGGTCCTGCCCAGGGAGCTCGGTGACACTGCTTTGTGTGGCTTTGCCTCTTACCTTCACCCAGGGGCTGAGGATGGGTGTCCGCAAGGTTGACGTGTCCTGGTCGTGCTGGGTTTGCCACCGCTCTGATGCTCACGCTGCTGCTCCTAGGACTTGGATGAACAACTGGATCTGCTCTGCTAATTCTCTGCTGTGTTAGAAAGAAAACACTTTGGTGCTCTAGAACTGGGCCTTTGCTCAATGAGCAAGTACATGATCGTTCTGAGATTTGCAGATCAGCCTCTTTTTCCACATGTGGGAAACTGAAAATCTCGTTAAGACTTTCTACAACCCACAAAGGAGTGAAAGACATTGATTTTCACTGAACAAGGTGCTGGCTGGATCACCATGAGACCATCTTCTTTCCAAAAGGCATTTTAAAGCAGTACTTTCGGTCAGCTCTGCGCAAAATATTCCACAACAGCCCCAATAACTTTTTTCCTTACCTCTGGTATCCCAGTGAGGTCACATTCTGTTAAAAACATCCTGTCAAGCTTGGTACAAAAGGGCTCCAAAGAATCAGAATGCAGAAGCTATGCAACTTGCTGACTAACTTTGCTCTGTGTTATTTACCAACCACACAAAGAAAATGCTGTCTATTCAAAACACAGTTCAAAACTCTCTTCACAGAAAGTGAGTGAACAAACAGTCCCATGTCCGATGCTGTAGTCACATCTCCCATGAGGCCCGGTGATAGCTCTGGGGCATGGGACGGAGTGACACCACCAGCAGTCACTACAAGGCACTTTTGTAAACAACTTGTGTGTGTGTGCAGAGAAGGAGGAGGAGGAGGAGGAGGAGGAGGAGGAGGAGGCGGGTGTTACTCTTCCTCTGTCTTAACATTATGCTTATTTGCTTTATCAGGTTGAAGCAGAACTTCAGTCTTAGTCTACTGAGTGCATTTGCTGTAGCCCTTGCAAAGGGTTTTCCTCATTATAACCTTTATTTTCTTCTAGAAGGGGTCTAAAAGGAACATATGGAATTTGTGCAGGATCTAGATTTGGAACCCTGGAGCTCAGTTAAGTAGCAGAAATTAATTCAGAATTTTCCAGACTCACCACAGAAACTGACAAACTCAGTGACTTACTCTACTTCATGACCAGAAAAAAAAAAAACCAAAATGGTCTAAATATGATTTTAAATTAATCTATTCTTTGTAAATTCTTACCCCACTAGTCACTCCAAAGCCACACCTTGGCAGAGAAGCAGAAATGTCTTTTTCAGCCCCCCTTAGCAAGGGAATTACCACACAGACTCAGCACTTCCAGCACTGACCATTGGCCTCCACTCACACCAAGCCACTCCAATGGCACTCCAATGCCTTTCCTTATACTTGCAATAAATCACAAACAACTGTTTCCAGACTTGGAAGGATAAATAATTGTTCTCATTAATCCCTTTGCAATTTCAGTCTTTAACTGTTAGACCAGCACTGGAATCCTATTTTTGCCACAGAATCCAAACCATCCTCACTTCTTATCTCCAAAGTATCCCTTCCCATGATTGATTATTTTTCTTTAACAGTTCTTTAATGAATATTTTTTTTATTCTTTCAAAGGTCTAAAAGACAGGTGTTATAAAATAGTGTAGGTTTGTAAGAGGAAAATATGAGACATGGTGACATTATGTTGTAAAATTAAATCAAGTTAGAATTTTCTTTTATGAGGTCTTGATCTGCCCTTTTATAAATGTTTATAGGTTTGTGACATAGGTTATTCCAAATATATATTTCAGGAATAAGTACATTCAACTGCTGATATTCTTCAATAGCTGAATGGTCCATGATCAATAATTGGATAACAAAAGTACAGTTTTTAAATTGTAAAGATTTTCTAGAAATACATAAACCCTTAAGATACCTAGATACATTTCTTTCATGCAAACTTGAAAACAATGTCTCTAAAATACTAATGGTGAATGATCTTACAGGTAAAATTGTCCAAGTAACTCAGGACTTTTAAAACAAATATTATTGTTTCTCAGTATCCAACAATCAACCAGCTTTTGGTTAGAGCTGTGCCTTTGGTACTGTCAAGCAGTACCATTCTCCAAAAGCAACTACTTACAGATATCAAGTGAACCTTCACTTGTCCATAATAGCTGAAGATACCATACCAGTTGTTACTGCTTTTTAATCAAGACTTTAAAAAACCAACATGAAGTTTTCTGCTGATCTTTGGGGATTTTTTATATTTCAAGTTTGCAGTATAAGTTCTTCTCATCTCATTAAAATTAGTAATTTTTAAAAGCAAAGGAGTCTTCCCCTTTCCCAATAACCTCAATTTTCCACTTAATTTTCCATATCTCAGGAACACATATCCTGCCTACTAAAATACTGCAGAATGCAGTTAAGTTGATTATTTTCACATATAACTATAAGGTCAGAAAGTTTATAATCCCTGTTTTATGGTCTGGCAAAACCTTAGTTAGCTCTTTCTCTAAAGCTTTTTCTGAGCCCTAGTAGCTATTTTTTAATAAATCAGAACCAGCATACAGAAGGCTGAACACAAGAGCTGGGTCTATAAAACATTAAGCCTCTCAAGTCTAAGTATCTGATGACTTTTCCTTTTCTGTTCCTTATCCTGTAACAAAATTTTGAAAGGTACATTTTATTTTTATAGGGAACTACACCAAACTATGCGAGTGAAGAAAATCTAGCAATTAAAATTGTGTTCAGATCATACTCCTTCATGTAACTCCAAGATAATTTTTCTTTTTTTTTTTTTTTTACTTTGTTGATCCTTGTGGGTCCCACCATACAACTCAGTATATTTTGTGGTTCCACAAAAATCAGCAACACTGTTGCAAGAGAACAAAAAGTGGAAATGTCACTGTGTTAGAGAGACAGTTTCATGTTCTCTTGTTTAATGCAGTGGATTTCTGTTCTTTGATGCACCTGAGGTTATGTGTGCCAGAGGCTCTTTCTGTCTTTTGCAACCTGACATTCTATGTTCCACACACAAAATGGCTCTCATTGAGGGTGCCCTTTAGCCACTGTCCTTTCTTTGAATCCTTTCTAGAGATGGACACCTGCTCCCTAAATTTTTGAGATCTGGACTGTCAGTGACTCCATTCAACTTCATAATGATTATCAGGTTGTTTTGTTCACCAGTCTCAAAACTGAGACAGCAAAGTCAGGCTCCTATCCACTTGCAATCTATTAATTTAACAAGACCAGCTGCAGTCGATATGTGTGTTTTTCAAGAATTTCCTTATACTTCAGTCTCATGGAGAAAGAGGGTTAGAAAATTTAAGTTTTGATATTGATTTGCCAAATCCCTCACATGGGAGCTAAGAGGTGAACCCAATAACATGTTTATTGCCAAAGACTCTTCTCTCTCTCCCAAATGGCTCCACCAGGGAACTGAGATGAAGAAAGATTGATACTAATTATGCATAGAGAGGACACCTAGCTATAGTCACCAGCCTGATACAGAATTCTCTGGGGATGACAGGCAAAGCTGGCAAACAAAAATGGAAGGAGGTAGAAAGAGAAAAAGGAACAAAATGCTGTTTCTGCCTATTCACAAAATTTACCCATGACTTGAAAAAATAAATCAAAATACAAAAAAAAAAATCAGGCAGGTCATGGATAAAACAGGTATTTCATAATTCCAGGAGCAACATAGGATACCAACCAGTCATGTGCTCCCATCAGGTGATTTAAAAAATAAAATAAAAAATAATTTTTAAAAATCCCATGCTTTGTCCTGTTCCATGTAATTGCAATGAATTGCAGTCTGGAGTGATTCTGTAGCAAGGGTTGAGGGGACTGAGGTGAATTTGAAACAGATAAAAGCTGGGTAAACCACTCCAGTAGCCAGGCTCATGCAAAAGTACTTAACCAGAAACAAATGCTGCTGATGCTTTTGTTCTGGTCTTTTACTGAAGCTTATTCTGGCCTTCTGATGTGCCTCCTATAGGTTGCCTCTGCTGGGCAACTGTGCATGTGCTCACAGCCCCAACTGCTAGCATCACATTTATTTATTTATTTTCAACCCAAATAAACTCTTAATGGCTTAACATAAAACATTTGGATTTTTTTCTTTTTTGAAGCACACTAAATAATAAAAAAGCCAGAAGCACAAAAGGCCATAAGGGAATGAAAGGGATGATTGTTCAAAGCCCTATTAAAAGGTTTGTTGCTTTATTTATATATTTTTTTAACAGCACAATTTCAGAGCCTTTTAAAGAAGACTCCTCCTCCCCAGTTGCCTGCCAAGATAGTACTTAGCTGAGGGAGGGAGAGCCTGCTCTTTAAAAGAAGATGGTATCTATTAGAGAGAGAAAGGAAAGAGAGATATATAAAAAGGCTTTCCCAAAACAGTTGTCCAGAAGGGTCAATGAAAAGAAACAAAAGGTATGAGATGACAATTACATGGAAAGAAGATGAGAACATTAAAGCAGAGCACACTGAGAGAAGAGGTTTTTTACAGCAAAAATGGTTCTGTAAAGGTCATTTTAGTTCCTCTATTATACTAACCATGGCCCATATTTAGGCATCTGTCAGGTAGTAATTGCAAAGCACTTCACAAAAATTAACCATGAAAGCCCTCTTTCATGAGGTGGATGGGGGACAGAGGCACACTGGTGGGCAGGCTGAGACCAGGTTGTTTCCACAGGAGACCAGAAGACCCTTAGGCAGCATAAAATGTTACAAAGCAACAGACACAGAAAGGTTAGTCCTCCTCTTGGTGTGTTGCATTATTTCATTGCAGGTATCAAGCAATTTGTCTGGGTGGAAGACATTTCAAGTGCAGATAAAATATCTGGAGATAAAGCTGAGGTCCATATTCACTCTCCTTTCCTTTAGAAGCAAATATTCCAGTCTAGGTCTCACTCTTAAAATAAGTTCCTCCAAAGATTGTCACTGGTTGAAATCCTGCTGTCTCAAAATTCTGTCAGCAACCATCATCACCGACACAATCACAAACCCCCAGGTAACTCATGGAAATCTGAGTAAATGCTGCAAATTTCAGCATTAACAGTATAGGACTGGCACAGCTGCCACTGATGGCATGGCCATGGTGACCTTTGCTGCCAGGACATGGTCTGTGGTTTGTTCTGGCTGGAT